ACACGGTATACGACGCGTTTTGGCTTTTACTTAAACCCAGCAAATATTAGTAAAAGAAGTGCATATATACAGCGCATTGACAGTATTGGGAATGCAATTTGTCAATGGTTCAAAATTTAGAATATCTGGAAAACATGTTTTAAATTATACAGGTAATATAATTCCTAAATCAAAGCATCAGCACTACAAGACAATTAAAATTCAAATAATAAAATTAAAATTAGATGCACGTCGTCGAATCGATATTCCGACGGCAGTTCCAACTTGGACGTACGTCGTCGAATCGATATCGCGACGGCAATTCCAACTTGGATGCACGTCGTCGAATCGATATTCCGACGGCAGTTCCAACTTGGACGTACGTCGTCGAATCGATATCGCGACGGCAATTCCAACTTGGATGCACATCATCGAATCGATATCCCGACGGCAATTCCAACTTGGATGCACGTCGTCGAGTCGATATCCCGACGGCAGCTCCAACTTCATTTCGCCAACAATTTTTTGCTGTTCGTCGTTTATGCAGAAGAAATCATATGTACACTTGCATTTCCATTCCTTCGTGTTCTTCATTAATTGTTCGTAAAATTTGACGACCTGGAAGAAAAGTTTTTGATATTGTCGAAATTTACGACACCAGTAGTGAAATGAGGTACACAAGTCCATATGCTATCTAAAGAAAAACTTGTTGCTGAAATCTGCAAATCACGTTTAGTGAACTGCAAATGGAATGCTCCTTCTTCTGATTATTGCATTTCCTATAATATTTTTGAAAATTCCCATGCAATGACGCTCAAAAAATACCAACTCTCCAAGTGCACACAACTAATTTTTCGACTTCAGTAAATCTATCAACTTTTGACATATATGTTTTGTCATATCCTGTAATTTAAGTGATCAGTGGGGACTCACTTCTGATATTCTGCAAGTAGTAATTTGATTGAAATTGATATCAGGATTTTCCACCTTTAGCGTATAACGAGCCGCCTTCGGCGAATTCTGCAAATCAACTTGATAAAAATGTTCCAACTGCTATGCCATAGTTTAGCGATACTTGTGAGTCTAGAGCTGAGTATTACAAATTACCTCGCAATCAGGATATTGCCGTAATAGTAGGCTAGCAACCATACGTAAACAGAAAACAAAGAAATTTTGGAATGCATAAACAATTTTCATGAATAGCCATTACTGCTCCGTTTAAGAATGGCTGGTGAAAAATCTTTGATAATTTCAAATTTTAAAGTGAAAAGAATGAGGTGTTTACTCGAACTAAACCATAGAATATTCAGAAATTCACTTTAGTAAGATTGAAGATCTATTTTGGCACAAACATTCTAATTTCAAGGAATGGAAATTGGATTGGCCACTTTTGATCGTGCTTTTTCACATATCGGCCTGCTATGCGCGTAATTGTAAGATAAATACTGAACAGATGCACAGTTTAAAATTCGAAATTCTTAGGTAACCTGTGACTATGATGGAACCATGATCGGATTTTTAAGCATTGGGATAACGCTCAACCACACAACTGGATTGTGCGACGGATACCCAAACAAACGGATGAAACGCGGCGAACTCCTCAAATGATTATTAGCTTTTTGTATCAGTCCGACAATTTGGTTTATGAAGAAATTACATGCGCTGATGCCATTTCAAATTTATTTACATCACATCAATTAAACAAAACACCGAATATCATCCAAGTTCAACAACAAATTCATGTAACCATTTATGTGAAGAGAAAAAATATCAAAAACTCTCATTTCTCAAAATATACCCAAAATACTTCAACGCTTCACAGAATTTGTTCCCATAATCTTACAAAAAAATAATGGCATGCGTGAAATACTATGATATAAAAGCACTGCTTAATGTGTGATAGTCATGGTAAAAACCATGACAATCCTTCTAACAATCATAGATTCACGCAGTAAGGGCAACTTTAACTTGTAAGTATCGACAATCAATAAATAACTGACTTTTCCACCGACTTGTGAACTTCTATCTATTCCCTCATTCTCAAAACGTGACTTTCATGATCATCCAAAGTATACGGTTCGGTGGCAGATGGCTTTATTTTTGCCAAATTTTGTCCGCTTTGAAGATGATTTTGCCAAAATTCATCTCCACTCTCGCTCATGGTACCCGGTCAATCTGTCTAAAGACATTTCGTCTAACGACAGTTTGTCTAAAGACACATTGTCTGATGGACAGTTCGTCTAACGGACAGCTTGTCTTACGGACAGTTTGTCAGTTTGTCTAATGGACAATTCGTCTAATGCAATGCCTAATGGACGTGTCATATTGTTAGACGCAACCGTTCAGAACATGTGAAAATTCATCTCGTCCCTATCATTAGAACACCTCTACATATCCAAGTTGGTCATTTTGATGGTTTCACTTAAAGTCAGCTTTTGACCAATGCAGTTACCAAGAGCAAACAACCCGTCTAGTTTATCTTTATCACTGGTGATGGACTGTTTGCTTCAGGAGTCTCCGTTAAGGAACTATATTCAGATGTATACGCAACACATTTCCCATAACAATAAAAGGTCGTATTTATTATTAATTATGCATGTCAGAATACATGAAATTGGATAAAATGCTGGTGATAACCATGTTCATAACAGTAATAACGTATGATAGCTAATAACACCTATAGTAACAAGAAAAGTGACAGTAAAATAATCGAGAAAACAGTAAAAATGGTAATAGTAACAGTAAAAACGATAAGTAATAACAATAATAAGCAAAATGTTGAGACCAATAGCAGTAAAGACCATAACAACATCAATGACAATAATAAAGGTAGCCACGATGAAGATGATGACAAATAATGATAATTATAATGATAATAATAGCAATAATATCAATAAATATAACCGCACTAATATTAATAAAAATATAGGGTGTGATAACTCAATTGTTTGTTTTTTCTTTGCAAATTTAACTCGTTGAACCGAATGATGGCAGCCAGAGTAAACTTTGAGGAAAGAAAATTCATTCTTAATTGATACTGGAAGTAGGAAATCTCAGCTGAAGTAGAAATCATAATAAACACCTAGCCGACAATTACTTTCACTGTGTATAACAGACAATTGAGTTATCACACCCTATATTTTTATTATTATCATTGCGGTTACATTTATTGATATTATTGCTATTATTATCATTATAATTATCATTATTTGTCATCACCTTCATTGTGGTTACCTTTATTATTGTCATTGATGTTGTTATGGTCTTTACTGCTATTGGTCTCAACATTTTGCTTATTATTGTTATTACTTATCGTTTTTACTGTTACTATTACCATTTTTACTGTTTTTTCGATTATTTTACTGTCACTTTTCTTGTTACTAAAGGTGTCATTAGCTATCATACGTTGTTACTGTTATGAACATTGTTATCACCAGCATTTTATCTAATTTCATGTATTCTGACATGCATAATTAATAATAAATACGACCTTTTATTGTTATGGGAAATATGTTGCCAATACATCTGAACATAGTTCCTTAACGGAGACTGCTGAAGCAAACAGTCCATCACCAGTGATAAAGATAAACTAGACGGGTTGTTTGCTCTTGGTAACTGCATTCGTCAAAAGTTGACTTTAAGTGAAACCATCAAAATAACGAACTTCGATATGTAGAGGTGTTCTAATGATAGGGATGAGATGAATATTCCCAATACGTTCTGAACGGTTACGTCTAACAATATGACACGCCTATTAGGCAGTGCATTAGACGAACTATCCGTTAGACAATGTGTCTTTAGGACAAACTGTCGTTAGATGAAATGTGTTTAGACAGATTGGCCGGTCACGTTCATTCTGTAATGACCCATCTGATGCTAGTCTTAATTGGAAGTGTAATAGTAATGGTAAAAAATCATATTTATCACCCAAAAAAACAAAATTGATGGATAATAACGATTTTCAATGATATTTTAGCAATGAGTAACATCAATTTCTAGTGAATATACTGACAATAACAACACAAAAAAGGTAACGATAGAAATTATCGGATCGAGAAATGTTTATAAGACCAAACTTACCCCTTTCTTTCACGGTGTGCTCGCAACGATACCAAGGAGGTATTCGTGCTAAACTATCGCTTTCTACAAGCATATCGCTTAAGCCGGAGCCTGATCCTAGGACTGTAATTCTAGAGAACCTTCTCTGTTAACTCGTGTTTTCACGATGTTTATATTCTCTATAACAACCTGACACTATAATAATCTGACACCGACACGCCAACATTCATAATGCGAAAAGAAACAAAATACCTTAATGTGCTTCTTGAATAATATCAAAATTCATGAACGATAATACGTTTTTGATGCCAAAAGTTTTGAATTCAACTGAGAAGTATCTATTGCTGTGAATCAAAGAAGTTGGATAAAAGAGGCAACGACATCAGCAAGTATATTTAATGAAACAAAGTCAGTAGTAATGGCAGTATCAAACTGATTTAATGTGAACAAATAATACAACGAAATTAACTGTGATAGTATGAATTGAAAGTTTCAGTAATAGTATTAATGAACAAAATTAATAGCGACATTAAATAGCGAACCGAATATGTAATCT